CACCTTTTTCACAATACAGCTGAAAGTTGCAGACATATCCAGTATTTGCCTCAGACACCACTCTGACTAGCATTCCATACTTTGTATTTTTATTTGGATTATAAACCTGAAAAGACAGTCTTCCACAATGAGGTATCATGGATTCATCCAAGGGAAGTTCTTGTTCAGGTGTCTACACGGTGTTCAACTTATTTATTATGGGTTCAATTTTGCATAATCTGCTTGAATTGACTGTATTTCTGCATTATTGGAAAAAATGCAAAGACCGCAAAAATTGTAGGAATCTATTTCACGTCATTATTTTTTAAAAGAAAGACATTGCAATTGTTGAATGTATTGACCAATAATCATGTATTGTGGTTTTCTTCATTTGTTCCATCAAAATATTTAATGATAGAAATTTTTTCATCTTGGATACAGTAGTATTGCTCCACTTTTTTTATTTCTTTGGACATTATATCTGTGGTACATCAGATCATAATACCTGTTAGTTTCCACTGCAATCAGTTCTATAAAATCATCTCCAATAAATAGTCCGACAATTTCACTTATACTTTGAGGATCATTGGGAAATACCTTGACACCTGGATTACCAATAAATACTTCTAAGTTTCTTTTTGAATCATATTTTGTCCACTCGATGTCTGATTCATTCTCACCGGTACTAGATTCACTGTCATAGATAGATTATCTGCGCATTATACTTCTTCGTTTACATTGCATCATTACATCACTATCTGTCTCACTATCACTAGTAAGTTCAGTGGATTTCACCTTCGACCTCAGAAATCTCATCAGCATATATTTCTTCATTTTTCATAATTATTTTTAATGTTCAAGTATGAAATCCCTGAAATATCAAAATACAAGCACACAACACTAATCACAACAAAATAATGACCAACTTGCAATTTTTGCCAACTACCTAAATCAATAACAACATTGTGCAATTGATATCAGATAATTATCTCAATTAACTTTCTCTCTTCATGGCTGACTATTCATTTTCAAGCAAAATATAATAACATATACATATGACAATGTTGCAGCATTCAGAAAAAACTTGCAAAGATGTAAGTTCACGTCAGTGGCAACCAGGAACAGAATTTGGAATGATGTAAATTCACGTCAGCAGTCGCAAGTGAGTTAACAGGTTAATCAATTATATAAGCCTATCTTTTCTTAATGGGAAAAAAAGACTTTCAGAACTTATTCTATTGGAAAATTTTAATAAAGTTCTTCTCAACGAAAGTAACATAAGCCCATTATAAAATTCTGTAATATAAAGAAAAGATATATGAAAAAAGTCACTTACAACCTTACCACCTAAAGGTAACCACTACTAAAATGTATGTATTTCCCTTCAGAAATTTCATGTAAAAGTGAGCTTTTTTACATATTATATAAAGCACCTTTACATGGCATAAAAGCTAATTTTACCATAAGCATGTAGTCCCAAATATTCACAAAATTAATGGGCACAAAATTCTATATGGTGACTATTACATTATTCTTCTGAATTATTGTCGTCAGTAGAAATAATTCAGATGAGATGTTCTCATGGTACCACCAAACTATTAGCATTTGTACCCAATAAACATTCTAGAAAAATCATTTTTTCTTGTATGAGAGTAAGGAATATTTTTTTCTCACACCAATAGGATGATACAATTTTGAAATATTTATTGAAAAGAAAGTATTATAATTAAACTCAGAAATCAAGGGGGAATCTATAATTTTTTTAGAAAATAAAACTAAATATTTGCTAAGTCAAAATCTCTTACAGAATGTACATATTAGTAATGTAAAGAAAATAGGTAAAACTAGAAGCTTATTTTCAATTTACCCAATTTCATGTTATAATTTGTTTCTATCGATTCATGTCTTACCTTGTAAAGATGACTTACTGAAGGCAGTAACAGAAGTGGCTACAGAAGGAGGGGGTATAAAAGAGGGTAAATTGACTGTGAAGATGATGTTTGTTCAAGTATAAAACATCACTGAGTTGAAAAAGTTGTCTATGGATTATATAAAGCCACAACCTCAGGATAAAGTTTGAAATTCTCTACACACAGAATATGTAAATAATCATCTCCTTCACTAAACTTTTATTTCTCCTAGTAAAACAGATTCATGAGTAAATATTCTTTAATCTATTAGACACCATACAAACCAACATTATCTAAGATCTCCAAATTTTATTACATTATTTCTATAGATTAAAACTGGAAGCTATTTCAAAAATTTGGGGAGTTAGAGTGATTCATTTTATAAGCTAGCTTATTTGGGGTGCTGACCTTAGGAAAAAATTTCCAAATATGAACGACAATTAAGACTCAGACAAAATCATAGTGAGTTTATAGTAATTCACACTTGATTAGAACAATTAATTTACAGGTAAACTTCTATTTTCTGTTGAAGCCTCAAAGCCACAGGGAATTAAGCTTAATTCTACCAAAAAAAAAATTGTAATAGATATAAAAATATAAACTGTGCATGAGAGTTAGAGACAAGTTTTCATTCCAATTTCAATAAGTGAAGTTAAATTTTATTTTAACTTGATTTATATTTATTTACATTTCATTTTTTTTTCCTACCCTGAATGTCATACAATTACCTTTATCTATAGGATCCCATTAACTGCCATTATGAACTCGACAACACCTATACATAAACACAATACACACATATACACATCCTCTTAAGAAAATAAGACAAAAATCTTACCTCTGTTGACATCCATGGCATATAATTCTCTTAGTCCCAGGTCATTAAGAGATTTTGTCAGGTCGAGGGGCTCCTGAGATTGGTAATCTTTCAGCAACAGTGTATGTAATGGATCAAACTCACACTTGCTACAGATAATAGGAGCAAGTTCTTGAAGTGATGCATGTGGGCTAACTCTTACTATGGTCTTCTGTGTTTTCTTAAAATTGATCACTACTCTCACAGTTTTCTGAAACATAAAGTCATAATTATACCATAATTTATTTATTTAAATAAACTTTCTACAATGATGGCTAGTATAATAAAGTAATCAATAATTATATATTTTCAGACAATAAACACTAAACCCAAATTTTGGTGTAAAATTCTCTTTTTAATCAGTGTTGCTTTCTAAATCCAAAGCAAACTCTTAGAAACAAATAGTTTGTGTATTAAATAATCTAGATTAAATTTACAAGCCTTCTATAGTAAAATGTTAAGTAGATTTAAATTTAAAAAGAAAAATATGTCTTTGGAAGGCTGAGGTGAGTGGATTGCCTGAGCCCGCGGGTTCAAGACCCGCCTGGGCAGCAAGACCTCATCTCTACAATAAATCAAAAAATCAGCCGGGCGTGGTAGCGCACGCCCGTAGTTCCTACTACTCGGAAGGCTTGGGCAGAAGGATCGCCGGAGCCCAGCAGGGAGAGGCTGCGTTGGACAGGAGCGGCCACTGCACTCCAGTCTGGGCAACAAAGTGAGACTCCAACTCAAAAAAAAAAAAAGAAAAATAGCCTTGTATCTAGTACTACTGATGTTTATTACTATGTTCCTTAAAAATCTGCTTCAAAATTAGCAAACAAATATATAGTATAATACAAAATTATACATGTTTTATATATCCCTTATTTGGGAAATATTTATCTTTCAAATGGTTTGTGGTTGCTTCAATGAAACAAGGGCTATTTTGGTTGTTGGACCACTAAAATTTTTGTTTCTATAGGAAATATGATAAATAAGAAATTCATAGCTGGGTTCGGTGGTTCAACCTGTAATCCCGCGCTTTGGGAGGCTGAGGTGAGTGGATTTCCTGAGCCTGAGGGTTCGAGACCCGCCTAGACAACTTGGTGAAACCTCATCTCTACAATAAATCAAAAAATCAGCCAGGCGTGGTAGTGTATGCCTGTAATTTTGGCTACTCGGAAGGCTGAGGCGGAAGAATCGCCGGAGTCCAGCAGGAGCCCAGCAGGTCTAGGCTGCGGGGGCCGGGAGCGGCCACTGCACTCCAGTCTGGGCAACAGAGTGAGACTCCAACTCAAAAAAAAAAAACAAAATTCATATAATTAGCTTAGCAGAGTCTGGCATGTAGTCCATCAGTAAATGAATATTAGCTATTGTGATTAGCTTTTGCTATTATTGTTAATATTACTACTTTGGCTAGTTTTAATATTTTAGTAAAGAATATTAAAACCTCCCTTATTTAGATATCTATGCTAATAATTTTTAAAAATCAGGAAGATTTTAAGCATCTCATCATTTTAATATAATTCAATAAACCCTGTATATAAATGGAACTTATCAACATGCATCCATACTAAGTAAAATTTATAGTTTGCAGATCCCCATGTATAATCCTATGCTATAGCATATTACCATTTCCATATAGAAAAATAGAATATGTGATGAATATATATCTAGAAGGAAAGCAGCCCATATCCTAATGTCTAATATTCAATCACATATTACAGAAAGCAAACGTGTTTTAATATTATTTAAAAACGCATCTTTTTAATAAAAAACTTCATAACAATATGAAGAAAAGGCAAAAATATATGTATTCAAATCACATGCAAACAAACTATGAATTTCATATACAAACTTTTATACATTTTACCAAGTAAAAAATAGTTGATGTTCATAATGAAAGAGTATTTCCAGCCAGGCTTGGTGGCTCAGCCTGTAATTCCAGCACTTTGGGAGCCTGAAATGAGAGGATTGCCTGAGCCCGCGGGTTCCAGAACCACCTGGGCAACTTGGCAAGACTTCATCTCTACAATAAATCAAAAATTAGCCGGGCATGGTAGCAGGAGCCTGTAGTTCCAGCTATTTGGAAGGCTGAGGCAGAAGGATCGCCAGAGCCCAGCAGGTAGAGGCTGCAGTGGCCGGGAGCAGCCACTGCACTCCAGTCTGGGTGACAGAGTGAGACTCCAACTCAAAAAAAAAGAAAAAGAGTATTTCCTGAAACCCAGAAACTTCTATCCTATTACTTATAGCAAGAGAACAGCTGTATTGATAAGAACTGACGATATTAAAATCAATGTGGTTAAAAATGTTTGTTTAAAATTCACACTTTAAAGAAAATGGAGTTATTGTGTAACACTGATTATCTCTTCGGATGTTAGTAAGTTACAACTGCTCACCATGCATAGAGAAGCCAAAAAAATTATTTTAGTAAAATCTTAGATGAATTTTCATTAAAAGATTCTAAATGTAAAATACTTTTAAAAGAGTAGCTGCTGGGCGCAGTGGTTCATGCCTGTAATCCCAGCTCTTTGGGAAGCAGAGGCAAGAGGATTGCGTGAATCCAGGGGTTCAAGACCAGCCTGGGTAACTTGGTGAGGCCCTGTCTCTGCAATAAAAAAGTTAAAAAAAAAAAAAATTTAAAAATTAGCCGGAAGTGGTGGCATGTGTCTGTAGTTCCAGCTGTTTAGAAGGCTGAGGAGGTAGGATCTCCTGAGCCCAGCAGGTCAAAGCTGCGGTGGCCGTGAGTGTGACACTGCACTCCAGTCTGGGTGACAGAGTGAGACTCCAGCTCAAAAAATAAAATAAATAAAAAATAAAAGAGTAACTTAAAATACAGATCATTCATAATTGTCAGACTCTTAAATAGTTATATTGATCACTTTAGAACATTTAAAATCTAAAGTAGTTCCCAAATTCTATTTGATCCAAGGATCAATAATCAACTAAATCCTAAACAAAGTGACCTAAGAAAACATGATAGCCACGTTCACATCAAATTTGACCAGGAAAGTCAATTTTTATTTCATTTATAATGAGTTGTTAATAATGACTGAAAAAAATCAACTTAATATTTTATCCAGCCCGGGTGACAGAGTGAGACTCAGACTCAAAAAAAAAAAAAAAAAAAAAAAAGGAAAGCCAATTTATCTTTCATTTGTAAGGAATTGCTGATAATGACTGAAAAATCAACTTAATATTTTATCTAGCCTGGGTGACAGAGTGAGACTCCGACTCAAAAAAAAAAAGAAAAAAGAAAAAAGGAAAGTCTATTTTTATAATGAGTCGCTGATAATGATTGAAAAATCAACTTAATATTTTATTCATAAGACATCAAAATCTGTAATGGAATTCTTACCTCTGGTATTATTGGTGTGGGCTTTTTCTTATCCAATATTTTTGGTTTTAAAATTACCTTCTCTACCTCCAACATTCCTATTGGTGTATTTGGCTTAAATTTAATGTGTCTCTTTTCAGCGGATAGCAGATCAATTGTGTAACTTGATGGATTCAAGTGATACTGTGCACAGAGGAATATCAACAAGTCCATCATAGGTTTACTGCAAAAAAGAAGTAACACTGATCATAAAGGTCCATAAAACAATTCCATTAACTGTTAAAATTATTGTCTCGAGGATTCTTCTTTGAATGCTTTTGTCTTCAATAGATAAAGCAAAGTCACAAAATACTATTTGTGAATGCAGCTTAAAACTCTAACTGCAAAATATTTAAAAAGACAAAATTGTAATAGCTAAAAAGTCCTGGCTGAGTGGATGCGGGAGCTCATGCCTGTAATCCCAGCACTTTGGGAGGCCAAGGTGAGAAGATTGCCTGAGCCCCGGGTCTGAGAACAGCCTGGGCAACTTGGTGAGACCTCATCTCCACAATAAATCAAAAAACTAGCTGGGTGTGGTGGTGCATGCCTGTAGTTCCAGCTACTTGGAAGGCTAAGGTGGAAGGATCGTCTAAGCCCAGAAGGTCAAGGTTGCAGTGGCCACGAGCATGCCATTGCACTCCAGCCTGGGCGACATAGTGAGATTACTCCTCAAAAAAAAAAAAGTCCTGAGTAGTATTCTAGCGGTGGTTCAGCAATTACCTATATGTTTTTATTTGCCAAATTGTTTCCACATTCTACACTTCAGGAGGTGAAGGAATCCTTTCCTTACCAGAGAGCAGTCCTTCACAACACGTTCTCTGGAACACAGTACTTGCAGTCTTTGGCTTATATGTTGGTAATAGTCTAAAGTTCTCATTAGCATGAACCATTTTTGGCTTTAGAAAGCAGACAGTGAGTAGCTACCGTCAGTGAGGAAGTCCAGAACATCCTAGAGGGTGTAGTACAGATTCTTAATCATTCAAGGATTATATATTGAATATTTTCTAGGCACTGAATCTCAGTACAACTATTATGATGTATCTGTTCTCATAGATCTAATACTCTACTATATGGACTAAATCACAGGACAGCAAACTACAACCAGCAGGTCAAAGTGGACCCACAGTCTGTTTTTGTAAAAAAACCTGTACTGGAAAATAGCCATGTCCATTTGTTTACATGACGTCACAGAATGTTTTTGCTTTACAATGGTAGAATGGAGTAAGTGTAACCAAGACTGTATGACCCACAAAGCTTAATTTTACTACCTGGCCCTTGACAGACAAAGTCTGTGAATCTTGTGCTAGAGAAAATAAATAATCAAGGAAATATATGAAATAACTTCAGTGGTGAGTATTTAATACTAATAGTAAAATAAGACCCTATCTATAGAAACTTTCATACCCAATTTGGAATTTAGAGATACTTCCCAATTTTTTGCTTCCCCTTCCACAGACTCCAATTGTTGACACCACAAACAAAACAATGTAGTCTTGAGTTTTCATTAATTGTCAGCCCTTAAGGAAAGCACACTAAAAATTATTTCGTATAATATGCTTCCCTCAAATGTCAGGTAATCCTAAATTGTTAGTTCACACTCGAGAATAAGTCACTAAAACACAGAGTAAAAGTTCTATTTTTTTTTTTTTTTGAGTTGGAGTCTCACTCTGTCACCCAGACTGGAGTGCAGTGGCCGCTCCCGGCCACCGCAGCCTCGACCTGCTGGGCTCCGGGGATCCTTCCGCCTCAGCCTTCCAAGTAGCCAGAATTACAGGCATGCGCTACCACGCCCGGCTCCTTTTTTGATTTATTGTAGAGATGAGGTCTCGCTGCCCAGGTGGGTCTCGAACCCGCGGGCTCAGGCAATCCACTCACCTCAGACTCCCAAAGGCGCGGGATTACAGGCTGAGCCACCAAGCCCGGCTAAAAGTTCTATTTTTATAGATAGAGCTATAGACTTGTGGGATTCACTTTAGGGTGGCCAGCACACTTAATCTCCCAGTGGTAAATATAAATATTAGTAAAAAATGATTCTCTAATCTCTAGACTAGAAATTAGAGAATCATTATATCAGAGACATAAACCTGACTACTAACTTGCAGGAAATTGACAGGGAAGCGAGGCTAGAGATCCACCATCAGGCTGAGCACAGTGGCTCACGCCTATAATCCCAGCATTTGGGGAGGCCAAGGTGAGAGAATTGCTTGAGCCCACAGGTTCAAGACCAGCCTGGACAATTTGGCAAGACCTCATCTCTACAATAAATCAAAAAATTAGCCGAGCATGGTGGCACATGCCTGTAGTTCCAACTACGTGGAAGGCTGAGCCCAGTAGGTTGAGGCTGCATGGCCGTGAGCGTGCTCACTGCACTCCAGCCTGGGCAGAGTGAGACTCCAACTCAAAAAAAAAAAGAAAGAAATCCACCATCAGTATGCCATTTTAATTTTAGGGCATTTACTTTCTTTTCTTTTCTTTTTTTTTTTGAGTTGGAGTCTCCCTCTGTCACCCAGACTGGAGTGCAGTGACACACTCCCAGCCACGGCAGCCTCGACCTGCTGGGCTCCAGCAATCCTTCCATGTCAACCTTCCAAGTAGCTGGAACTACAGGCATGTGCTACCATGCCCGGCTAATTTCTGATTTATTGTAGAGATGAGGTCACGCCAAATTACCCTGGTGGGTCTGGAACCCACTCACCTCAGCCTTCCAAAACTCTGGGATTACAGCTGAGCCACCGAGCCTGGTGACATTTACCTTCATAACAGCACTTCACCCCCACTCTCCTAAGTGGAGTTCCCAGGTTTGTGGCCTCTCTGATCCAGTTTTTCCAGAGAAGGAGTCTTGTAAGGGATTAGACGGCTGACAGTGTGTGGTCATGTGGTCAAACAACATTTTACAGATTTTCTAACCATCCCCCATCTCACCCTCATCTTACGTGGTTGTTGCCCATTCCCAGGACATTCCAGTCTCTATGGGATAAGCAGGTGCTTCTTAATGCATTTCACTCCTTCCTTTTCCTCTCCCACATGCAAGTAGTACTCCATTATATACATATCAAGAAAAATATAAAAATCAACGACTCTAAGTCCCTCAATGAAAAATGTTCGCTGGAATACTTTTCAGTCCTCAAAATACATTCCCTATGTCCTTATTAGATGCTTGTACAATAGTACTTAAGAATTTACGCCAGGCATGGTGGCTCACATCTGAAATCCCAGCACTTTGAGAGGGCAAGGAGAGAGGATTGCCTGAGCCAAAGTGTTTGAGACCAGCCTGAGAAACATGGTAAGATCTCGACTCTATAATAAATCAAAAAATTCGCTAAGCATAGTAGCACATGCCTATAGTCCCAGCTACTTGGAAGGCTGCAGGTCAAAGGTGCAGTAGCCTTGATTATGCCACCGCACTTTGTCCTGAGCAACTCAAAAAAAAAAAAAAGTACAGACTTCTCCTGCACTACAAACTATCTCCATAAATAAATCTATCTATAACTACCACATTTGGGGTTTGGATAGTACATTTTAAATCTCATTTAGAGGGAGACTAGCATAATGGTCTTGTGGAAGTTTTTTTTTGTTTGTGTTTTTTTGGTACTATAGTACTCTACGAGAACAGTTGGATGCCACATAACAATTTTAGACTTGGAAAAAGTCCTTTCTTTCTTTGATAGTAAATAAAGTTAAGAAGGATTAGGTAATGTCTAGTTACATACAATGTAATTATAAATACAAGCCGTACATGGTGGCTCACGTCTGTAATCTCAGCATTTTGAGAGGTGGAGACAAGAGGATTGCCTGAGCCCATGGGTTTGAGGACAGCCTGGACAACTTGGTGAGACCTCATTTCTAAAATAAATCAAAAAGTTAGCCGGGCGTGGTGGTACGCGTCTGTGGTTCCAGCTACTTGGAAGGCTGAGGTGGAAGGATCACCTGAGCACAGCAGATCGAGGCTATGGTGGACATGAGCGTGCCACTGCACTCCAGTCTGGGCGACAGAGTAAGACTCTGACTCAAAAATAAATAAATAAAATAGAGTTAAGCTGGAAGAGAACATTCATTGCCAATCTAATGGATAGTTGTCTGCTGTTGCCTGAGTAAATGGTGATGTGTGCCAATTGTATTTCTCTTCCTTTCTTTCTATCAACATATCAAATAATAAATGCAAAAACACTAAATCTTATACAAACACCTTTTACTTCTTAAATGTATAGTATGTACAGTTTAATGTCTACAGCCCACTATCAGCAAGAGAGGGCCCACTAGAAGCCCAATCCACACCTGCATGGAATTTACTATGTAATTTGCTTATGGAGTAAATCCTTACATACACCACACAACTCTAAAATAAAAATAAAATAAATAAAAATAAAAGGATTATATTCTGACTATATTCAAAATAAACTGCGGGAGGAGTTACAAGGCTACTGCAAAAATTTAGATGGAAGATGGTGGTAGATTGCACTAATTAGACTCTAGATATATTTTATAGGGAGCCGACAGGATTAAAGTCAATGCAGGAAGAAGACACAGAAACAGAAAGGAGATCTAGCCAATGAAAAAAAGCTGGGAATGCGGGAACATAACAAAGTGACAGGGTTGCTGAAGCGACCCAACAGAAGGCCTAAAATGCACATTTAAATGGTTTGCCCCAGGCTCTGTTGCTCCCTGTAATCTCAGCACTTTGAGAGGCCCAGGTGAGTGAGCCCATGGGTTCGAGACCCGCCTGGGCAAC